GTTCTTACGGGAGAGAGAGAGAGAGAGAGAAAGAACGGGAAAGAAAGAGAGGAAGAGGGAGTGCGGAAGGAGGGATGGAGAGGGAAAGAGAGAGAGAGAGAGAGAGAGAGAGAGAGGGAGAGAAAGAGAGAGAGAGAGAGAGAGAGAGAGAGGGAGAGAGAGAGAGGGGGGGGGGGAGATGAGGGGATGGGGGTTTCTCAGATCTTTCTCCAATAAAACACTCTAAATTTCTTGCCATTCTGCCTGCCTGAGTTGTTTCGGTTCCAAGTCTGGTTTCTGATCTTCCTCCAATCTTCCCTTACGGCTATAATATTGCACGTTCAGTTACACCTGAAGCCCGTCCTCATAGTGATAATAAAATGACACAAGATGCAAAAATACTTCTTTTTTTAGATGTTTTTCAAAATCCAGCAAGAAAAAGAGTCATTCAAAAGAAATTTTGTTACATATTTTTTTGTATGCTGGTTCCGAATCTAATAGCAGAGACATAATGGTCACACTGGCGTCTGTGGTATGGCGGTCATACCGGGTGCCCATTGGAATGATCGGGTCGGGTCGGGTCGGATCGATTTGCTAGCTAGATTGAGGGCGCAAAGCGGCTATTGTGGCACAAACCGATCACACGACTCGCCCCCTCGAAACAAACGCGTTGACATGGTAAAGCAAAGTAGGTGTTTGATTTTTTTTTTTTAGGTAATTGCTCTATATCTTTAATTGGACCTTTTTCGTCCTTGTCCGAGAAGGCTAGCTGCAGTTTTTTCCTATCAGAAGATCAGGGGTGTGGTTGAAAGACAGCAGTAAGAAGGAGCCAAGGAGTAGCAGTAGAAAGGCTGCAGAAAGAGTCTGAAGCCAAGAGGAGGGGAAAAGGGGGTGAGGGGGTGAGGAAGAAAGTGGAGACGAAAGCAGACGACAGAACATTCTAGAAAACAGGAAAGGAGGTGAAAGGAGACAATGTAAGAGAAGAACATTTTTCCGTCGCTACCTGGATTCAAACCCGCTATCTTTGAATGAGAGGCGAACATATTAACCTCAAGGCCACGCGAGCCCCCATTTGTTCTTTGAATACAAAGAAAATATATGCAATTTATATAAGCAGAAACCCGTGAAGCATGCTCGTGGCTCGATTTCTCAGATGTTGAGTTACACCTACTATCTTTCTTGGTTCACAATGATCAGATCAAATATTATAGCCGATTTTGATAAACAAAGACCTAGACTTCACTTTAAAAAAACAAAGAATGGAAAAAATCTGTCACGTTGTCAGGTAAAAATGTCAATTTTCTAGTTTTTAGTTTTGGTTCTGTGAACACTGTGAATCACGAAAAATGTATCTTTATAACGTTACCTACTTTTTATACAACTTAGAATAACTCACATGAAAAGAAAGGCGTAGAGACTCAAAAGACTATATCTATACACGCTCTTGTTTCTTCTCCAATATGTTATTAATTTTTAAGTTTATACTCAATGGTTTACTGTTCTCCTTCACTCCACCCCCACCCCTTATCAACCACCCCAAGTACTGATCTATTGTTTGTTTTATGTCGTCGCACAGATAACAGACAAGTGCGATAATGGAGATTGTACCACGAAACGACGGAACAGCAACAAACGGAAACGAAACGAATGGGTATGCCAAAGCGTGAGCTATTTCAGTTGTTTTTTAAGATAGCATCTTCTCCTCACTTTTTTTTTCTCTTCCCCTTCCTTTCCCTGGTCATCCTTGCCCGTTGTCATGTTCTTTTCCCCATTCTTCTCCTCCCTCCATTTTCTCTTTCTCCTTTTCCTCCTCCTCCACCTCCTCCTCCTCCCCCTCCTCCTCCTCCTCCTCCTCCTCCTCCTCCTCCTACTCCTCCTCATAAATGCTCTCCATAATAACAACCGTAACATCACCACAACCACAACCACCCAATTCTCTGGCCTCATCTATACCCCCCCCCAAAAAAAAAACACACAAAAAAACAACAAACAAACAACAGAGACAACATTGACAACAACAGCGACAACAACAACTTTGAGAGAACAAAACAAACGAGAGAGGAAAGAAAAGTATTAAGTGTTTCTGGTAGTGCCTTCAGCAGGACCACAGTAAACATGTGGTGTCATATTGTATTCCTATATCTGTCTGTACTTTATGTATCGGTATGTTAGTCTAGGCTGCCATCAGACAAGATGCATTAAAGACTAAAAATTACATTTTGGTCTCAGAAAACTGAGAGCTCCTAGTTTGAATTTTAAAAAGAAACAGATACCAAGTAACAATAAATGCATTGCTGAAAAATCATCGATCTTTGGCTACGCATACTGGTCGATAAATATAGATGCCCTCCATCAGGTATTCTGTTGCTTCAGGTGGCAGACTTTGGGAAAACACTGAATTCTAGTAGATAATTATAATAATATTTTTTTACTTGGTCTCCAAAAATTATATCTGGAGTAGTGCGTTAGTGAAGTAGGATTCATCCCCCCCCTCCCCCTC